CACAGACACACAGAGACACAGAGACAGACACGGAGACACAGACACACAGAGACACAGACACAGAGAGACACAGACACACAGACACACAGACACACAGACACACAGAGACACAGACACAGAGACAGACACAGAGACACAGAGACACAGAGACAGACACAGACACACAGACACACTGAGACACAGAGACACATACACAGAGACACAGACACACAGACACACAGAGACACAGACACACAGAGACACAGACACACAGAGACACAGACACAGAGACACAGAGACAGACACAGAGACACAGACACACAGAGACACAGACACACAGAGACAGACACGGAGACATAGACACACAGACACAGACACACAGACACACACAGAGTCAGAGACACAGACACAGACACAGAGACACAGACACAGAGACACAGACACGGAGACACAGACACACAGAGACACAGAGACACAGACACACAGACACACAGAGACACAGAGACACAGAGACACAGAGACAGACACAGAGACACAGAGACACAGACACAGAGACACAGACACACAAAGACACAGAGACAGACACGGAGACACAGACACACAGAGACACAGACACACAGAGACACAGAGACACAGACACACAGAGACACACAGAGACACAGAGACACAGAGACAGACACGGAGACACAGAGACACAGACACAGAGACACAGACACACAAAGACACAGAGACAGACACGGAGACACAGACACACAGAGACACAGACACACAGAGACACAGAGACACAGAGACACAGAGACACAGAGACACAGAGACACAGAGACACAGAGACAGACACAGACACACAGAGACACAGACACACAGAGACACAGAGACAGACACAGACACACAGAGACACAGACACACAGAGACACAAACACACAGAGACACAGAGACAGACACGGAGACACAGACACACAGACACACAGAGACACAGAGACACAGAGACACAGAGACACAGAGACAGACACAGACACACAGAGACACAGACACAGAGACAGACACAGAGACACAGAGACACAGAGACAGACACAGACACACAGACACACTGAGACACAGAGACACAGACACAGAGACACAGACACACAGAGACACAGACACACAGAGACACAGAGACAGAGACACAGATACACAGACACAGACACACAGAGACAGACACAGAGACACAGACACACAGAGACACAGACACACAGAGACAGACACAGAGACATAGACACACAGACACAGACACACAGACACACACAGAGTCAGAGACACAGACACAGAGACACAGAGACACAGACACAGAGACACAGAGACAGACACAGACACACAGACACACAGACACACAGAGACACAGACACACAGAGACACAGACACACAGAGACACAGACACAGAGACACAGAGACACAGACACAGACACACAGAGACAGACACAGAGACACAGACACACAGAGACACAGACACACAGAGACAGACACAGAGACATAGACACACAGACACAGACACACAGACACACACAGAGTCAGAGACACAGACACAGACACAGAGACACAGACACAGAGACACAGAGACAGACACGGAGACACAGACACACAGAGACACAGAGACACAGACACACAGACACACAGAGACACAGAGACACAGAGACACAGAGACAGACACGGAGACACAGAGACACAGACACAGAGACACAGACACACAAAGACACAGAGACAGACACGGAGACACAGACACACAGAGACACAGACACACAGAGACACAGAGACACAGAGACACAGAGACACAGAGACAGACACAGACACACAGAGACACAGACACACAGAGACACAGAGACAGACACAGACACACAGAGACACAGAGACACAAACACACAGAGACACAGAGACAGACACGGAGACACAGACACACAGACACACAGAGACACAGAGACACAGAGACACAGAGACAGACACAGACACACAGAGACACAGACACAGAGACAGACACAGAGACACAGAGACACAGACACAGACACAGACACACAGACACACTGAGACACAGAGACACAGACACAGAGACACAGACACACAGAGACACAGACACACAGAGACACAGAGACAGAGACACAGAGACACAGACACAGACACACAGAGACAGACACAGAGACACAGACACACAGAGACACAGACACACAGAGACAGACACGGAGACATAGACACACAGACACAGACACACAGACACACACAGAGTCAGAGACACAGACACAGAGACACAGAGACACAGACACAGAGACACAGAGACAGACACAGAGACACAGACACAGAGACAGACACAGAGACACAGAGACACAGAGACAGACACAGACACACAGACACACTGAGACACAGAGACACAGACACAGAGACACAGACACACAGACACACAGAGACACCGACACACAGAGACACAGAGACACAGAGACACAGACACAGACACACAGAGACAGACACAGAGACACAGACACACAGAGACAGACACGGAGACATAGACACACAGACACAGACACACAGACACACACAGAGTCAGAGACACAGACACAGAGACACAGACACAGACACACAGAGACACAGAGACAGACACAGAGACACAGACACACAGACACAGACACACAGAGACACAGAGACAGACACGGAGACACAGACACAGAGACACAGAGACACAGACACACAGACACACACAGAGACAGAAACACAGACACACACAGAGTCAGAGACACAGAGACACAGACACGGAGACACAGACACACACAGACACAGAGACATAGACACACAGACACAGACACACAGACACACACAGAGTCAGAGACACAGACACAGAGACACAGAGACACAGACACAGAGACACAGAGACAGACACAGACACACAGACACACAGACACACAGAGACACAGACACACAGACACACAGACACACAGAGACACAGACACAGAGACACAGAGACACAGACACAGACACACAGAGACAGACACAGAGACACAGACACACAGAGACACAGACACACAGAGACAGACACGGAGACATAGACACACAGACACAGACACACAGACACACACAGAGTCAGAGACACAGACACAGACACAGAGACACAGACACAGAGACACAGAGACAGACACGGAGACACAGACACACAGAGACACAGAGACACAGACACACAGACACACAGAGACACAGAGACACAGAGACACAGAGACAGACACGGAGACACAGAGACACAGACACAGAGACACAGACACACAAGACACAGAGACAGACACGGAGACACAGACACACAGAGACACAGACACACAGAGACACAGAGACACAGAGACACAGAGACACAGAGACACAGAGACAGACACAGACACACAGAGACACAGACACACAGAGACACAGAGACAGACACAGACACACAGAGACACAGAGACACAAACACACAGAGACACAGAGACAGACACGGAGACACAGACACACAGACACACAGAGACACAGAGACACAGAGACACAGAGACAGACACAGACACACAGAGACACAGACACAGAGACAGACACAGAGACACAGAGACACAGACACAGACACAGACACACAGACACACTGAGACACAGAGACACAGACACAGAGACACAGACACACAGAGACACAGACACACAGAGACACAGAGACAGAGACACAGAGACACAGACACAGACACACAGAGACAGACACAGAGACACAGACACACAGAGACACAGACACACAGAGACAGACACGGAGACATAGACACACAGACACAGACACACAGACACACACAGAGTCAGAGACACAGACACAGAGACACAGAGACACAGACACAGAGACACAGAGACAGACACAGAGACACAGACACAGAGACAGACACAGAGACACAGAGACACAGAGACAGACACAGACACACAGACACACTGAGACACAGAGACACAGACACAGAGACACAGACACACAGACACACAGAGACACCGACACACAGAGACACAGAGACACAGAGACACAGACACAGACACACAGAGACAGACACAGAGACACAGACACACAGAGACAGACACGGAGACATAGACACACAGACACAGACACACAGACACACACAGAGTCAGAGACACAGACACAGAGACACAGACACAGACACACAGAGACACAGAGACAGACACAGAGACACAGACACACAGACACAGACACACAGAGACACAGAGACAGACACGGAGACACAGACACAGAGACACAGAGACACAGACACACAGACACACACAGAGACAGAAACACAGACACACACAGAGTCAGAGACACAGAGACACAGACACACACAGAGTCAGAGACACAGAGACACAGACACACACAGAGTCAGAGACACAGAGACACAGAGACACAGACACACACAGAGACAGAAACACAGACACACACAGAGTCAGAGACACAGAGACACAGACACACACAGAGTCAGAGACACAGAGACACAGACACACATAGACACAGAGACACAGACACACAGACACAGACACACAGAGACACAGAGACAGACACGGAGACACAGACACACAGACACACAGACACAGAGACACAGAGACACAGAGACACTGAGACACTGATCTGAAGGGACTCAGCAGATTTAGTCTTTAACTTGTTTCATTGTTTCATGAATAAATGCTGGAATAAGACAGAAAGGTGCAGATAACTACAATAAGACCAAATGAATCCAATTCAATCTTGTGTTGGTTGGATTGGAAACAGACTACATGTTTCAGCAGCAGATGTAGATGTTTGTGGAAATTAAAGGAAAAGAAAATGTGGATTTAAAAATGTGCTCCCTGATATCATTTAAAAAAAATATTCATGTACCTTTTTTTGTATTTAAAACATGAATGAAGTGTTTGTTCCTGACATGTGTTAGAGTAGTTTAATAAGAACAAGAACAGCAACACTTTCAAATCAGATTCTGTTTATTTCATATTATTAGTAAATGAATCTTCCCTTTTTTCTTTTCTTTTGATTCTAGAACATTCCTGAAACAACCAACTGACAGCAAAAGTGTTCCCATTGATGTTCAGTTATCACGGTAAGTTTCATTACATTTGTGCTGACATTTGTTTGAATCTGAATTCAAAGGCAGTGAATTTGTTTTAAGCACCTTTGAGAATACTTCACAACACAACGTCCTCATACATAAACAGTTTATCCAGTTTATACAAAAGTGGACAATTCGAATATTTATAATAGTCGGTCAAAAGAGACAAAATGTGTAGTCGGTTCATGTGTGTATGAATGGACTGTGGTGTGTGTAAGCTTTCCTGTGAGGTTGCGTGTGTGACTGTGGACGGTCTGTCTCGACTCTGCAGGGACGCCCCCCCCCCCCCCCGCCCGCAACGCCGACCTGCCAATCATGCACCTGACCTTGTTTCTGTGACTGATGGTGATGTGGATGAGTCAGTGTGACGCTGCGCTGCTCGTGGATAAATGATCACTAATCACCATCAGGAGATGAAGGACAAGTCTGTGAGTAGCTACAATACTTTGTTTCTTAATGTCAAAACTTTATTTTGTGTTGGCAGGAAGGCTGTCTTTTATTTTTTCCTGTTGTGGTTAGACTGTGTGAAGCCGGAGAACACATTTGTCATGGTGATGCACACAAACAGAAATTCAGATCGTGCTGTTGTCTGATTGTTTTGATTCTACCTTCAGCAGTAAGATATTGAGTTTTCTTGTAACTGAATTCATTCCTTTCTGTTCTGTAGCAAAACAATACTAGAAATCAAAAAAGGAACTTTGAAGGCCTTTAAAGCCAATATCAAGATAATAGCATTACTGTGTGCTCTCAAACACAAAGATAAAACCACGCTGTTAAGAACAAATACAAATATGCTCATTTCCATGTATATCTAAATGTTGAAAAGGAAATTAAGCTTCCTTCTCTGACTTCCTTTGCAGGTGCTACAATAGCGCCTTTAGTTGACTTAAAATACAATAATAATGGATCCAAGTGCGTTTATGCAATGCTAACGTAAACCTTTAACAAGCCTCATAACCATTCAAACTCACCCTTTTATTTTACCCTCTCCCTCTAGTAGTATATCCTAGTAAGATTTACAATTAGTATGTGCTTGTAAAAAGGAGAAACTATAACTCTGGGGTGACAGGCTGCTCACAGATCTTTATGGCTGCCTTCTCGTGTGTAAAGTCAGAGGTTTTATCCCTGCAGTTATAAGAGTCTGCTAGCAAACACAAAGGCGTTCTTTGTGCGGAGCTGTTAGTCTCATAGTGGCTTAGCGTATGTAGTGGAGTGTAAGCTGCTGTAGTAAGAGTTCAGGTTGTCAGAGTGCTTAGCCCGGACCACGTGGAGGCTGGCATCTGAGTGTCGCTGAGTCTGTGTGTCGCTGAGTGTGAGAGCGGCTCGGCGTGGACGCTCTTCCTCTGCCGCCACGAGTCCATGACCTCTCTCTGTAACATATCTGAAAGTACAACCAACATCTTAATCCACCTCTGCTGAAAGATCAACATCTATATCATTGCTTTTAGTTGTTCAAATGGTTTGGCCTACAATGTTGTTGTTGCACTTGGACACAAAAGGGACTTCCATGAGTTTAACATTTGAAATTATAATTTGTTCGTTCTGTAAATAATCTGAAAAATCTGAAACGTGGACTTTAGTTCAATGTATTATTTCAACAGATTTCACATAACTGTATTGGTTTAGTTACAAGCAATAATATGAAGTTTTATTTATAACATAATACATTTAATTAAAGTCAATGTTTCAGTTTTTTGTACAGAAACACAACCACATCATTTCAGTGTGGCTGCATAGTGTCATCAACGTCTAATAACTTGCATTAAACATAAACAAATCTTATTTACAATGAACTCGCTAAACACACTGACTGACATGATATTCAGAACGCGTTGTTTCACATGACACATTCGTCAATTAACCGGTAAAACTACGATATATTTGCGATACAAACCTGATTATGCATCACAGCTAGTTTGTTACACTTACATAATATATGTGATTATATTACTTCAATGTATTCTTAAAGGCCAGTCCATCACATACTAAGGTCACACATTAAGACCTATTAGAACATATTGCCTTCAAATGCTGTCCCTTTAAGTTGTTTCATATTTCTTAACTATTCTACCTAGGGGTGTATGAAATGTCAAAAACAGGAAGCCAAAATCCTGAATGACTTCCTGCTTCCTGTTCCTTGTCAGGCCTACTGAATCTTTTCTGGTAATTTAAACAATGTCTGGCAAAGACTGGAGAAATAGGAGCCAAACTGTAACTGGATAGAAATCCAAAATCCAGTTTAAGATAGATAGATAGATAGATAGATAGATCGTACTAAAATAGATAGATCGTACTAAAATACAGACTTGCATATTCCATAGTGTAGAAGAATGAATCCTTATTTATTCCAGGATGTTCCCAGAGACTTTGACTTAGGTTAAATGTCTGCAGGTCCCCTTTTCTAAAGAACTAGGAAATATTATTTTCAGATGCTACCTTTGCAATTTCTTTTCAGTTTCTTTGTGAGTTTGTGAGCAATACATACAAATATGAAAGCAGTCCATGCTTCCAATAAGTGCTTATACATCAGAAACAAGAGAAACACCCCATCACACTAGTCATACTTCCTTTTTCTTGCATAAAGTGAGGACTTGTTAGGGTCTGTGAACCTGCCCTCAGTGTTACAAAGCGCGGCTCACACATGGCCCATATCTGAGGGTTTAAGTGCCACTGCTTGTTGCCGGGGTTTGTGCAAGGTCTCTCTGAAGTATCTGCGCTCAACTGTACGAGCCTGTCTGCTTCCCATGATGCACCTCCCCATCCCCAGCCTGGCGCAGGCAGTGAAAGAGGCCATTGTTCCTGTCACTCTGAGGCATGTTGCATGCACGTCTGACACAGAGTGGGAGAAATTATTCCCTTTATACTCCTGGAATGTCTTTGAATCAATCAATTCTGTATGTAGAGATGCTGCTATAGTAACAAAGTCATTGAGTCACATTTGTCCTGCGTTTAAAAGAAAGGGAAATAAAGTTTTAAAATAAAAGTAATTGAAAGAAGACATTATTATACGCTTCAAATCAAGAGTTACACTTGTTGTTAACACCTTCCCATGTCTGATCCTCTGAACCCATTGGTCCCTAATTCCTTTATTTCCTCTGCTGTGTTTGATGTAAAGCAAACCGCAGTTGAGAAAGCTTGCAGTTTCTCTCATGGATTTGTCCTGCATGATGTCATGTGTTGACAACCCTCTGTGGAGCATGCCATGTGTGGTGACATCAACACAAAAGAAATATCCTTCCTCTGAAAAGGTGGGCTTCTCAGGCAGATCATTTCTGCTTCACATACCATGAGACCCTTTGAATCCCCTAAACAGGGCCTTCTCTGCTTTGACGCTCGTGAGAATGTTTGATTCCCTCTGTTCTCAAGTTCCAGGCCTCATCCAATCCCAATAGAAGGAGGCTTCCTGATCCGTATACCTTTAAGTGGTGCAGAAAATGCATATCCTTGTTGTTGTTGTGTCCAATGAGCTGAGTCGTAGGAGCTCCTCAGCGTGTAAACCAGGAGCTGCTCACAGGTCACGAAACACTGCCTTATCCGTCAGTGGAGAGTCTATTTTTAACTCTGCTGTATCACGTATCACGTCTTGCCCTTTTGTGCTTTTGTTGGAGAGGAGGGATATTTCAGGACACTGAGGTAGCGTGGGAGGCGAGGTGAGGCGGGTCTTTTCCCCGACAATTCATGCTCCGTCTGTTTGATGTGTGTGTGAGGGGAGTGAAGCCCACGCCTGCCACTGACCTGTTGCAGGGGTTGGAAATGTGCTCTTCTGCTCTCCCCATTCATTAGGCTGGGCGGCGTGCGCTGCTACCCAGCGCTTTCACTACATCTGGATTTGTGGTCTCTGATGGGATCCAGATGGCAGTCTGGAACACCCGTGAAGACATATGGCGAACACTAAAGCATATTTAAAGGAGCCTTGCACCCGGGTCACTGTAAACAATTGATGGTCCATGCATTTATAGAATAGGAAGTACATGTATAATATATAGTGTCCTGTGAGGACATTCTGGATGACAGAACAAAGGGGGAATTTAGTTTGTTACAGCAAGTTAAGAGACACAAATAGCTTAATATTAAGAAAGAAGCATGCATAAGGTATTAAAGATCAAATAGAAATGACACAAATTACAATTGACATACTACACATCCAGTGGCAGAAACAGGAACAATTGTTCATGCAATGTGTCCTCAGAAACGCATCAAAGGCAAAAGTGTGTGTACCTTCCTGTGAAGGCGAGGTGAAAGGCCAGCCGTCATCGTGGTGAAGCTGTGATGAATCAGGATAACACTTTAGAGCCTTTCAGAAAGGCATTCAGGGTGTTGCATTGAGATGTACCCCCCAGGAAAGAGCTTTAGAAAGAAGGTCAAACCCATTGTATTCTCTTATCTGCACACACCTGGCCATGCTGTGTTAACTCACTGTGAATGTTGGGTGGTTGCTTTAGGAAAGTGTGTGCAAAAACACTTATTTGTGTTGCTCATTCAAATTGCAAAGAGAGACTTTTAACGAAGTTCAGACTTTTCACAAGGAATGTAGGTGTTTGTTTTCTTTAGTTTCTATGGTTACAGAGCTAAGAGCAACCGCCTCACCCTTCAGATAATACAAATGTTCTTTCCCCCCCAAGAGGTAAGAGTGAGGAAAAGTGCAGCGCAGGCTGTTATCTCTGAAACAAACAGGAACAAATAATTGTGTGATGTTTGTTTTTGGGTGTCATATTCTGTAAATGACATGCCAAGGATTAAAATGTATAAGATTGCATGTACTGAATAAAAAGTTGTCAAATGTTATACCGTTATAATAGAGGCTTGCAAAGTGCCATTTGTTGAGATTCAAGACTTTATTGTGAGCATGCAACAACATTGTAGATGCATCAGCCTCAAATGGTGCATTGTATTAAAACTGGACACATATTCACACTGATACACATATTTGAGATGTATTCTCCTGAAAGTAAAAGCCACAGGCTGCTGCTGTATTTGTTTTGGTTGAGTTA